GGAATCTATGGCGTACATTTTATCCCATTGGAGATGGGTTAGCTAGGTTTACACAGAACTCAATGATTAATTACTCTCCCATTGAGGTAAGAATCCACTACCTATCACTTCAAACACTAGGCTAATAAGTCACATGACCTATGATCGATTGATATTTATTGTTACTTGTGATTTTCCGCTAATCATTATAAAGGATCGAAACGTTCATTCCATGATAGCTTATTGGCTTTCATGCAAATACCTCGATGCTGTCCGGAGATACAACATAACGTAATTTACTTGACAATGATTATAAGTGAAGTAAAGAATATGAGTTTCGTCGTACATGAAACTTGTCACATGGAAATATCGGGGCATCCGTAAAGGAGCCTATATACCAGCAAAGACCAATCAATTCAGACCAGTATAATACTCAGAGAGTTACAAGCACACGTAGATATACTTATATGAGTTCAAATTTCGGTTAAATATGAGTACCAAATGGTTTCCCCATGGACTTATATGTAGGGAAGCATCTAAACCTATGTAACTGATGACTAGAATTTCTTCGTTGCCTGAAATCAAAGGAGTTATAGAATGACATGATTAGTTTCAAGAGATGTCTAGGAAAAAGCAAGATCAAATTATGAACATCCAAGCCATAGTTGCTACGAATGTCCTATCAGGTTTAATCATTAAATAAGCAAGTTCTGATATAATCCCAGCGTGTTTAAAAAATTCAAAACAAGATTTTTCTGAACTCTCCGATATTCATACCACAGCTTCTTCAGCAGAAAAGCCTACAGTTCCTTGAAAACTTTTGTAGCTAACCACAGCATGCTGAATATTTTCGGAAAACCACATGATCATACATGTGAGTTTCAGATTGCCCAAATTTGTTTCTAGAAGGGTATAGGACATATCAAGGCCATTGAAAACAAATGTAAACCATTACTTTTTGTACATATTCTACTTGACAATAAGCGTGTTATCGTTTTTGCCGTTTCTTTCTGTTTTCGAGGAACTAAAGGACCCTTAGAAGTAAAGCCTAAGGTTATTGTTTCAGAGTTCACTCTGATATTTCTATATAACTAAGAATATATCATTTACATAAATAAGCTGAAAGTCACACTACAAATGTAGAAGAGCTGCTGGCTACAATATGCCAAGCTACATTAGTAAAAGTAATGAACATACATACACATAATATATATGCATATATGGTGACGTAATAATATTACAATATTGTCTTCTTGACCATTTGAGGTAGCTGTAGTTTGACAGACTTGTACTGACACAACCAGAAACCCGGTGGTCACTGGTCCGAATCCCGCTGAGGTCCAAATTTTCAATTCACTTTCAATCTTCACACAGCATGAATATTATATATATATATATATATATGCTTTAATTTATCTAGTCGAGATAAAGCACATGAGAATAGAATTTGTGTTAAACACTAAACAGTTGTACAAAAGTTATGAAAACTTTCTGCTAGGTATTGGAATTACCAGTGAAATGAAGTAATTGCAAGAAAAATTTCATGTCTACTTATGTATGATAATCTTTTCTTACTTTTTTGACATATAAGAATTTCGACAGTTTATCAGTGCCTATCAATATTTTAAGTGGTGTATTTTTTTTCCTTTCGTCAACCAACTGTTCATCTACATAGTTGATTTTAATTTTGTGGATAGATGTACTTTTTACAAAGGTTATACTTGATATACTTGAAATTTGTTGTCTCTTCCAGTCTGATTTCAGCTTGAACAACAAAATTTTAGTCACAATTTTGATTAGGGATGTGATACTTTCAGTTATTGTTTGGTTAAAAATTTGGTGGACCTAATTTGCTGATGTAAATGCTGATAGTTCTGGCTTTCAGTAAGTAACATGATAAACTCATAAATGTAGTTTTTGACTACAATACTTGACCATGCGATGCACATTGTGGGTTTGTGGAGATTTATTGATATCAAAGTGGTATTATTGTCAGAATGACACCAGTTGGAAACCACTGGATAATCGAAGGCAATGAAAAAGTGCATCGTCCTAGTATGAGACTCGTCAGCAGCGTGCATCTATAGCTCCCTAGAGGTCCGAACCCAGAGCCTTTGGGTTCCATCGCGATCACTAAGCAAATGATTCACTTTTTCTACTTCTGTTGATTTGAGATATACCTCACCCTTCACTTAATGCTGTCGTTAAGTAGTTGTTCTCATGTCAGATTTGGTCTGTCCTATAGGTCACAACTTCCAACAGAACATTGAAAAATTCCATTTCGAAGTGTTTCACCAATGATTATTGGATAGTAATTCATTCTGACCCTTACCGGTGGGGCGAACTAATTTGAATGTGATGACTAATGCTTAACGATGGTGTTGACTGGATGTCACGCTATATCACGAATTGACCTTAATGAGAAAATGTGGACCAGTGGCTCAATGCTTGCC